TTTACCTAAATGCTCTGTTTCAGACAGTTTTTTCTACTCTTGGCTCTGTGTGATGACACTGAGTGCAGATATCCCTAATAAGGTCATCTCGAGCATATTTAAACCATCTGTTTGTGAGGGGCAGCCAATCAGAATAGAGGTTGTTTAAAGGGGAAGGAGTTGGAACAGCTTGTTTCAGACAGAGGACGAACTGGAGGCTGCACCAGTATGAGATAAGGATTAGGATTATTATGATCTTTGAGTCATGCAACGATACTTTAGTAAACATACTGCAGTGGAAATGAGCATGATAGGTCCCCTTTAATACAAATCCTACAGTTTGCAAACATGAGGTTGAAAGTGTAGACTCCTTTTCATGTGACCTTTTATTATTATTTTGTTTTAAATCCCGTTCTACTAATATCCAGTCTTTTCTCCCACTCAATAAAATCTCGTTTTCCCAGTCTTATCTTTATCTCTATCATCAGAACCTGAAGGCTAACGAGCAAATCTTTCCAGCTACAGATAACAAAGCAGTTTTTCTTCAGGGCCGACCGAGCAGTTTCGTAACACTCTCAGACGGAGACACAAACAACTTTCAAGTCATATGATCGTGGTTACTGTTACATTTTATTGAAAATTTGACATTTACTCTAAAATCTCGACACTTTTTTTTGCACTGGTTGAAACATATGACTTTAACTCCCACTCCACAGTCGTTGGGAGTTTTGTCTTTGCACTGTTAATTATTTTTATTCCGTCCTAGAAAACCTCCTCTGTGACGGTACACCTTTAAACAACGTGAATATTTATGAGAGATTAAAGAAAACATTTTTGTTTTATTAAAATGAGACACACAGGCTGAGCAGAATAAAGGAAAATTCTTAAAGTTACTTTATATTCAGCATGAACTTCTACCCTCTTTTGCATCCTGTTTGGCTGTTTTTGTGTTTTGTGCACTTCTTTCCTTAACGGGTGCAACTTGCACACCATAAATTCAGACCTATGCCCCAGTAAGCTGCTCTGGAAAAAACACGACACCACGTCAGCTGCTGATTCCTTTCTACACCGGGCTTTCAAAAGAAATACGCTGGATTTCCCATTGATATAAATATTCTATGAAAAACATCTAATAATCCCAGAATTAAAAGATTCTTTGTGTACAAGACTGTTGCTATATTTAATGAATTTGTGTCAAATCTGACCTTGATACTATAAATACTTTCTGAGGTTCAGGCTCTTGAAGAACACAGGGGTGCGTGGAAATTTTTGTCATCAGTCATCTTATTTTCTTCCTCATTTTTTAGGCTTCGTAAGCCCACACAGCTTCATCTCTATGTCAGACATTAAATTACTGTAGTTGTAGATAAAATCTTACAGTAATTCGATTGTGACACTTGGAGCAAGTTAAAAAACGTTAATTAAGAAACTAAATTCTGACCCAACAGTATGCACTTCAAGGGTTTACAACTCTCGCAATTTTCATTGTGTGAAGATAAAATTTAAATGATGAAGCTGTTATACAATAAATAAATAAAATAAAATCAGCTGATTCTGAGGACATTTCTCAGATTTACTGGTTTCACGTGGAAAGACCCAACTGCTTAGAAACATTTGATCCCAAAAGAAGTTATTTTACTTGTAAAAATCGCCTCTAATCCCCCTTTAAAAAAACAAAAAAAAGCAAAACACTGAAACTTTCACTGCATGTTCA